CTAAATGAAAAAACCTCATTCTAGACTTGGGGTCAATAGACACTATAGTATAAAGCTAGTGTTGGAGGATAATGATATTGTAATATTGACATACCATTACTGAGTTCACAGAAAAGTCACACATGTACAAATTAATTTACATGTATATATTTGAAAAAAAAAGTCAAACATGTACAAATTGATTTATATATTTGAGAGAGAGAAAAAAAAAAGAGAAAAAAAAGAAGAAACAAATACTTTTTACAAACTAAAATACCTTTATTATGATTCATATAAGAAAAAGATGACTCTATCCTAACATACATATATCAGTATTACTAGCGTGTTTAGGCCAAGGTTGAATTTATGACTTATTTTGAAGTATATAAAGCTATATATCTGCTGCAAAAATTATTGTTTGAATTTTGGAAAAGAATATTTTTCCAAAAATGAATGTCCATATGAAAGAAATATGTTTAAAGCGAATGGCGCATACACAAAATCATTGCCAATGGTTAAACTCCTTCTTAAAATAGCAGGGCTTTTTTTTCACAGGTTGGGGAGAATTATACAGTATACATGTATTTGCAAAGAAGAAGAAAAAAACTGCATGATTTTAAAGAATTTTTCTTTTGGGAAGTCCCCCTTAGACCGCCCCAGCTATAGAAGGAAAATAGCCCTTAATAGCAGCATAATATTTTGTTTTAGACCAGTTTAATCAGTTTAAGTACAATATTCATCAGTGTTAAACAACAGAGACAGTTTATCTTACAATTCTTTCGACCATTAAATTATGGAAACAAGATATTTTTACTGTTAATAAATTTTATATAAATATCTCATAATATTTACCCTTTAACAGTTGGCTGTCTGATCAGGCTGCATTATTTCAAGAGTATTTTGATGGCCTTTCGTTAATTCATAATAGACAAGTCCCAATGCAGGTTCAGTCAAATATATAAATTCAGCAAGGTGAGGGTTAAAGTGAAATGGCTTTATAAGCAATGGATATGAACATTAAAGGAAAAAGGCCATAAATTAACTTGGACAAAAAAACAACCTGGAAGCCTAAAGTGAAATTCAATTGGTTACTTTAAAATTCATCCAGAAATGAGTTTTGTTGCTTTTAAAGAAAAAATTCCTTTTGTCTATTAAGTGTGTCTTTAAACATGCATCTTGCATGTAACACATTCTTAATGTGCAACATATTTATAACTATACAAAATTGTTTCAAAATCTATCCTTGAATAACAAAGTTATAGCTTGAACAGAAAGCAGACAGTTAACATTTATAAGACTGTTGCCAAATCTTACTAGTTCTTTCACCTAGTACATAAGTTAGTAATAGGTTATTGGCCTTTAAGGCAAGTTACTTTTTTACGTTGTTGTATACACATTCATTCTTCTCCAATTAGCGCTTTCATGCAAATAAGATTAAGAGGTACATATAAATTAGATGAAGTACTTAAAAATCATGAGAAATAAGACTTGTGGCCCCTTAACACATGAGAAATAATGAGTTATGACCCCTTAACACATGAGAAATAATGAGTAATGACCCCTTAACACATGAGAAATAATGAGTTATGACCCCTTAACACATGAGAAATAATGAGTTATGACCCCTTTATGCATGAGAAATAAGACTTATCGCTCCTTAACACTAAGAAATAAGACTTATGTCTCCTTAATGCATGAGATATAAGACTTGTGGCCCCTTACAGCATGAGAAATAAGAGTTATGGCCCCTTAACACATGAGAAATAAGAGTTATGGCCCCTTAACACATGGAAAATAAGAGTTATGGCCCCTTAACACATGGGAAATTAGAGTTATAGCTCCTTAACACATGGGAAATAAGAGTTGTAGCCCCTTAACACACAGGAAATAAGAGTTATGACCCCTTTCATTCAGTATCATAAATGATTTGGTTGGATTTCAAGTTAAACCATCACTGTTGAGGTCACAACTTTACTGTTTGAGGATAAGATGATTTTTTGAGATCCCTTTCTAGGTGCCACTCGGTACATTATTTCAACCACAAGTGGACACCTGAATATACATCATCAGTAAGCTTCATCACTTGAAATAATCCATAGGCCCTGGAATTCCATCCACGAAAACCCATGCATACCTGAACCGTATACACTTTATTGGTGATGAATGTTATTCAGCTAAATCAATACGTGTGGGTTCCGAACATGTGGACCTCCTGCGGTTAGAAGCCAGTGAATCTCAATCATAATAGAAATCATTTCAAAACATTACATTATAATTATAGTGGATTGAAAATCTTAGTGATAGCACAGGAGTGTATATATACTGAAAGACAAACAAACCAGTATAGACCATTTAATTTAGGTAATTTAGTGTCGTTGATCAAACACATATGCAAATGATGCATGCAGATCTTGAATAAATTATAGCTTTCATTACATCATTCAGTGGTTACATTTCTTAAATGAATGGGACATTATAAAAACATTTTCCACCAAAATGGTTAATGTAATCAACAAGTAAATCTTGCTTCGTATTTACAAATTTACAACTATATCTGATGCGACATATCTGTGCAATTAAGTTATTTGATTTCTTTAACAAAATTATGTTTGAACAATAATTTCAACTCAAATTAATGTCAATTCCTCCAGATTGTATGAAATAATGTCAATAAATAATGTCAATTAAATTCTCAATATTGTAGGAATAAATGTCAATTTGTTCTATGTTATATATTGTATGAATTAATGTTGCCTTCTCCACATTGTATAATGTCAATTTCTCCTTATTGTGAATAAGGTGTGTTTCTCTATGTTAATCAGACCCCTTTCAATAAATACATATCATTTAAGTTTACCAGAAAGGCCCCTATCAAAATATATAGACAGAGGATTTTAAAGTTTTTTTTGTTGTTTTTTGTTGTTGTTTTTTTTATATAAATACAGGATTTATTTTCATTTAGTGGTATGAAAATAAATGTTTCATACCACAAGATGAAATAACTTGAATTTTCTATTTTATAATATTATAAATATTTTTCTCTTTTCTGACATTACAATTTGAAAGACGTCCCCTTGAATTTTGTGTATTGGCTGAATTTAGAAGAAAGTGGTCCGACACAACATCTGTGAAAATATGGAAAATATATTTCACTGCAGCAAAAGATATATTTACAGTGACAGTATGGGGAATGAAAATATGCATTTTATTTCATCAACATTAATTTCTCAACATTTCTTTTTAATTATAGTTTGTAATAAATACATGTTTATATATTTTCTTGTCTTGCTAAGCAAAATTGTCTCAATGCAATAAATTATAAAACATATAGTATAAATGACACATCATTTTACACTATTTGACATAAAATGGTAATGGAGACAGTGACATACTATGTTTTGTGGTTTCACGCAATCTGTATAAATGTCTAATGTGACACCATATTAACTACCAGTATATTAACTAACATACCACACTAGTACACAGAGGAAAAAAACTGTACAGTAGCTTTGTTTGTTTGTTCTTGGCTAAATACCTTGGTTTTTTGGGTTTTTTTAAGCAATAACGGAGTCATATACTCATAGGCTATTTACCTGTAACCACTTGATCTTTGGGATTTATTCCCTACTTAACTTTCCAAGATGTTGATTTTTACCTTTTATCATTGTATGATATATTACAATATAATAACATTTACAATATTTCATTTGTTTTACAATTTACTAACTTAATATTTCATGTTTTTATAATATAAAGTTGTAAAGCCTGAACCCATTCTAGCTGTTATGATTGAGGAAGGCCGGAGGTGACCTTCTGTACCTTATTTCAGGTACAACTGTCACCTGAGTAGAACCACCGACATTCCTGGATAGCTTTCTCACGTAAAAGAATCCAAGACACCACCCCAGCTTGAACCTACATCAGTGAGAGGAAAGAGATTTGAAGTCAAAAACCTTAATCACTCGGCTACAGACGTGCCATTTCCACGGGTTAAGAAAGTGTTATTCAAGATAATTTACTTCTGGTTATACATGTACACAAAATTAAATAATATAATTGAGCAGCATAATATTTAGTAAGTGACTTGTTTACCATAATGTCTAGTTTTGACATTTGTTTACCATTATTTTAAGCTATTTATAGCTATTTTAACAAATTGAAAAACATGTTTGTTGAAAACAATTACATATGAATAAAATTTGCATAATTGATGGTTACTAAAAGGGAAATATGGTAATTTTGTCACTGTAACCAGTTGGGATATTCCATCATACCTACTAAAACACAAAGTTCATATATTGAAGAAAACTTCATCAACTTCTAATTCAGTATAAACCTTAAATTTTTTTAGGCTTTTGATTCTACTAGTCTGGCATTTTGATCAGAATTAATACTGTAAACTGTTTTAAGTCCATGTGTACTGTTTAAAACTTGCAGAAGAACTGTGAATTGTACGAAAATAGCAGGTTCTTGGTTAATATTGGATTGTTTCCCTTGCTTTAATGTGTGATTGCCTCCCTTTGATTCATTTTGGATTACATCTTTTCTATAAAAGTTTAAGGATTACCTCCCTTCTATAGAAGTTTAAGGTTTACCTCCCTTCTATAGAAGTTTTAGGATTACCTCCCTTCTATAGAAGTTTTAGGATTATCTCCCTTCTATAGAAGTTTTAGGATTACCTCCTTTCTATAGAAGTTTTAGGATTACCTCTCTTCTATAAAAATAATGATCTTATAAAGGGTACAGCAACATTTTTGTATTACGCTTTTGAAAAAAGAAAGATTAACAATTAATATGACTTAGATACAAAATGATAATTAAGAAACTCCCAGAATTTTTTTTTTTTATGCTTAAAAGTTATTTTCAGTTAAATTTATATAGTATATGTTTAAACATTGTGCACATGCTATAAATTTTATGTAAATTGTTTCTCTGTATATATGTTTTTGCATGGGCCGGAGGCCTTAAAGCGAATAAAGTATTTGTATTTGTATTTGTATTTATAGAAGTTTTAGTATATCTTACCCAGTGTCTAAAGTCTCCTCTTCTACTAAAACACCATCAGTGGACTCGTTGACACGTAAAAACACATATTTGTCCAAATTTGGCCTTGATGCTGCAATGAAAAGAGAAAAAAAGATTGGAGTCATACTAGGACACATGCTTGTAACAGTTGTTGGGTTTGAACCCAGGATTCCTGGAATTGAATGGCAGACATCTTAACCACTCCTTCAATTTGCAAACACAATGTTCTGATTCTATTTTGTATCTATGACAGTAATACTAAGATGAAACCATATAATATCAACCAGTAATCAATAAACTAGTAGAGAAAGGTTTCACTTGTTTAATTATTGTCTGTTATATGGGATGCGAACATGGGAACGTGACAAGTTAAACAAATAACAAAACAAAATAGCCAGGAACATTGATTTAACAGTCTACATGTATCTGACAAATAGCACAATAACACTATGAACATTAAAGGTGATTTTAACTTGACTGATGACACAAGTATTCAACCAGCAGTAATGTACTTGTGGCCTGAATTGACAAAAGTGGCCATGAAATTTAAGCATTTGAATTCTTAACATGCTAAATATCTTATATGAACTTGTCCATCATTCAGCATGGACTAAAACATTCATCCTTTTGACGGTTATTTTTAGAATATGTACTAACAGACTAGTGTATAGTTCAATTAAACAACACGGATGTTCCGGCTAACCTTGGGTCTGCACTGGTCACATAGGTAGAATCTGTTGCGGTCAAAAGGCTAAGGGTTTTGATATTCAATCCATTTCAGAAACAAACAAAAGTTTCAAATTCAGATCTGAATAAGTCATTATATTATTAAAATAGAGTGGTAGATGATAACTTAATTGCCAAAGAAATGGCATAAAGGTGGCTGAAATGAATAATAATTCAGAATTAACAAATTATTATACAAAAATTTGAACTTTTTTTCTTTAAAACTTTGTATGGCTCACCTAATTCCTTTTACGTTTTGTTAAACTTTACCCAGTTAGCTAGATTCAGTTGTTTCAAGTGATGAAAGACGGACACGTGGATGGATATCCAGATTTTTACTCTGTTGACTCAAAAACAGAATTTCTGCTACAGCTGACAAGCAAATATTTTAAACTCAATTAAAGACAAACTGTAGCCTTGGCCTAAATCAGAGAACACAGAAATAAAACTTGAACACCTTTCTACAAGAATTTTTTTGTGAATATCCACCAATCTGCCAGGCATTATAAATCATTAAGTTGCTTTTCACAAGGCTGCAGATAAAGGTAGATATCATTGCTTACTCTTGGTCTTTGGCCAGTTTAAAGGCCCATTATGCCTCAGAAATGATATTATATTTATTTCTCAAAAACTGTTTATTTTTGTTATCGTGTTACATTTTCCAAATCAAAGCACAGAAGGCGCTGAATTTGTTTGGGTCTCAGAATGTCAGAAAGGTGAAGTTTGTGAGATAATAAATCAATTTGTTTTTGTAAAGTGCCACCAATGCTTTCCAGTGTTTTAACTGTAGTAAATTGGCTATAAGACTAATTGCATCACTGATAGTCAATTCAATGTTTATGAGTTGCCTCTACTGGGATTTGAACTCCAGACCTCTCGATTCATAAGCGAGCGCGCAAACCCCTCGGCCACGGTGAGATTATATGTTATCGGTCTGAAGAAAACCATATTATTCTAAATTAGGGTTTGTAACTCTTATTTTCGATGCTAAACCTGTTGTTTAACACAGATGTAAATAATCATGGAGCTTACTGTAAGCATGTATATCTATAAAGAATGAAACAATATTAGAAATCTTCGACCATTCGGGAACTACTTTGCATGAAAATTAATGCGTCTGTCATTTGACAATATTTACGCATTGATCTCCCCTGAATTTTTTGGTGTTAGTGTACATATAAAGGGAAGTAACCGCTTCAAAAAAGTGGACTACTTTAGGCATTTGCAATTAACAGCATTAGACTCTGAAATTTCGCTACCATTATTTGTTTGGTCTGACGACCCAAACAAATAAAAACATACTCATTTGCCATATACATGAACTATCTTTTGCATCAGTTCTGTTGGCAATTGGTATAATTATAGAGAATAAATATTTTGTATGGAAGTCAAAATACTACTTTGTTTACATTTACGATACATAAGTGCATAATCAGTATTGCTTTTTTTCAATTGTAAAACATCCATTACTTAAAGATTCACATGTTTGATATTTCTAAAGAATTAAGAAAATATGGATTTCTGTGGCATACTGTGCCTTTAACAATACTTCAGTAATATTATACTGCTGTGGGGTTAAGAGTGCTCCAGATTGTGTTCCAGCAGTAACCTGTTTTAACTGCAAGCAACTGCCAAATATTCCAGAACAAAGAAACAAACAGCATCTGACATACAACAAAAATAATTATCACTGGGGGTGGGGGTGGTAAGGATGGGGGAAAGAAGGCAACAATGCAACAACCTCTACTATACTTTTAAGCAAAAAAAAATTGAGGTTCTCTAGGAAACATTTTACAATCTTTGTAATTTTTGCTTCTAGTATTTTATTATAGTTTTTTTCTAGTAAGAAAAACCCTTTATTGGTCCTGTTTTTATGCGAAAACCATACAATATTGCTAAGGCCCCATTTGAACAATGTGCATTATTTCAGCTAATAAATGGGGGTCACAAAGATAGATTCACAGGTCTTCCAGAAACTGAAAGGATATGACATTTTCATTTAAGCCAAGAACTTTTTTTTTTGCATTTTCATTAATTACTTATATGTCTCGGGATATACAAAAGGTTCAAACCATTTTCAACCAGAAAATGTGTAAATTTCTAATGAGATTGTGCACATGTGACTTTACTTAATATTTAAGCGATTATTCATCTACACCTTTGCCCAAAATTTCTGACAATATTTTTGTAGTTGATTTATAATTCTTAAATACAGATGACACTTTAACCATTAACCTGCTGTGCTGGAAATCAGGTGATAATGGTAGCCACTTTGCCACCAGTAAAAAGCCAAGCCAACCTGTGCCATCTGTGCGTTCTTATCACATCACCAGGCTTTATACCAATGGTAGCAAAATTTTTTATAATACATGGGTGAAAGTTATACTGAAAATTTTAGCTGGGGGCCAGGGGGCCACAGGGCCTCCGTGGGTCCAGGGCAAAGCCCTGTCTTGGAGTCCAGGAGGCCGGATTATTCTGATACCTGAAATACCTTAAACTTCAAATGGACTGTTCCAAACTCGCAGCTGGGCAAGTCTATTACATAAATTAAGCATGTTCAGGATTTAGATAAAGATAGTGAGGACAATCACATGGTGATACAGATCTAAACTGGTTAAAACAGACACTAAGCGCAGTAAAAGGTTAACTCCTATTAAATTATATAAAGAATTAACCTGTTACTGCACTAAGGTCACAATATGCTCTGCAAAGCATGTAAATTACAGTAATATTCATACACTGAATAATTTCACATCAAAATTATTATACAATGTCTATGTCTGTTTTCAAAAATTTTCTCCCATTTTCCTATGTTGTCCTTAACATTCAATTATCTCCTCTTGTTTTGGTTTTTTTGTTAGTTAACTTTGACATTTCTTCTTCGTAAAATGCTAGACAATATTCTAGACTGAAAATATTAACTATGGTAAACTAGCTCCAACTGAGGTCCAAAAACTAAATAAAACATAAAATTTAAAGTTCAAAAAATGATCAACTGGTGCATATAAAATGGAAAAAATATGCAAAAATAAAACAATGAAATATACACAATTGAACGATTCTAAAGCATATTCAAATTAAAAGCTTTTAAATTTAGCAATTAAGAAATTGGTTCAAACCTACAGCAAATGGTGGTATATACAGTTCAAAAAAAAATAAAAAAAATTTCAAGTTCCTTTCAACCACTTTTAAGCTCCTGAAAACGGACATGTCTAGCCTTTACCACCGGTATAAAGTCAGGATAGTCTGCACATCCATTAATTTTTGTATTTTATAATTAAAACCCCTTAAATTACCTATGGACTCTTTCAAATTCAAAGCCGGGCAAATCCATTACACAAACACATCAGGGTAAGGATTTACATTATCGGTGACGTTCTGTCAAATCTGAGTCTACATTTGGTGGCCATCTTGAATTTCGGCTCCCAAACTGGTTTTTATCCACTAGAAATGTGTCCAGAAGACACTAATGCCCCTATTTGGTCTGTCTTACAGTCTATGAAAGGACAGTCTGATAGTGTGACAGAGGTACATAGGCAAATTTATAATGCCCATCAATTTATATGCCCCTCTCCTTATGTAGTAAAACTTAAAAGCAAAAATATCAAATAATTATGTGACAGGGAAGCAGCTTATTTGTAGAACAATTTACGCAGCTTATTTGTAGAACAATTTACGCAATTAAGCCAATTTTAGCTTTAAAATACCATGATATAGCTGATTCAAAAATACCATGATATAGCTGATTCAAGGTCAGAAAATCTAACACGTAATATCCTAAATTGCTGCCTTACACTAAATTTGAAATTCTAATGCAGAAAATCAGTATTTTGTTTTCACAGTGATCCAAATTTCTTGCAATGAAATAGGCATAATATATCCTTGAATTATTTTCATTGCACCAGTCTGACATGTTGAAGCGAGCCAGAAAATGATGCACAAAAAGGTATCAAGGACATATAGATGTGTCAGTAATTTAAGGTCTCAAAAAACCAAACAAACAAACAAATCAAGACATGGTGTTACAAGAGCTGTTTATAGGACAGTATGTTTGACCAATTCTGGTTACAGGTTCCCTTATCACAGAATCATTCTTAACCGGAGGGTATACACTTTAAAGACTCTCAGACAAAAACAAAAGTAAGACAGTTCTACACAGATATTTTCTTTGCTAAAATTAGAATAATCAATTTTCTTTTTTTTTTCTTGAAATATTGTTAAAATCTGCTCACAAGGTTGTCTTGTTTACAAGGTTGTCTTTTAAACGGTTCCTGTGACACGAATAAAGCAAAGTGGCGATGTCAGGATAAAATAATAGCACCACAAGGGGGGATATGTATAGTGTCAAGGTAATTATTATACTGC